GACTTACCGCTGCAATGGCAGCGAGCCCAGCCCTCGGTTGCGACAGTCGTTGCTGCCATTCCGCCATGAGATCGCGCCGGAGCTCATCCCGCCACGCACTTATCTGGCGCGGCAGCGGGGCTTCGCCCCGGCGACGTGCCTCCGCGCGCATGTGATACACGCGTGCGGAGGCACGTTCGAGCACCTTCGCCTCCAGATCCCACGGCGGTAATCCGGCAAGGAGGTTCGCCGACTCCCCGGAGATCGTGCGGTATCCGCGGATCATTCGTATCGCCATGACCCTCTGTGACATGAGCAGCGTCCGAGCGGGACGCCGCATATTATGTCTTGAGTACGATTATACTCTAAAGAGTCGAAATCGTACTCAAAAGTCGTGCGTTAGTTAGTTATATTTTAAGTGTATATATTTATTTAATTTATTAGAATTATTGTAATGAATGTTTTACATTGCTGAATATTGAAAAAAAAATTTTGAACTGAATAATACAAAATAAAGAGCACAGAAAAGTCGTGCGATATCTCAAATCAATATATCTTAAGTATAATAAATATATCTTATTCTTCTAAGAAAATTAAAAATACGTGTAATTAATAATGTTATGTTTTTAAATAATCTACCAGATGGACATACGTATACTTGATCTCGTTTGTAAATTACGTAAATGTACCCACAGGAATGATACCGACTGGATACGCGTCGGATGTAAAAGAGGGGTGTATAGAGCTTGGGCTGGACATGCCGGATGAGGAGTCACCGAGTAACATGATGGACATCCTCGCGAATATCATCGACTTCCTCCGGCAGAAGGACGTAAATTCGAAGGCTCTACCGCCACTGTTCACAATGCCGGAGAAATTGATACCTTGTAAGAGCTTCCTGAACCAAATGTGCCGGACTGCTAGTAAGTACCTAGTCCAGTATAGTTGTTTGTTCATATATCAATAAACAATACTTGTAAAATCACCACAAGATACAAATTTTCGTTAAATTAGTCTCTTTTCTATTAATACGATGGCCGCCATCATATTATTTACATGTTTTGCATGCCCCATCTACCAAACTAACCCATAAAACCATACTGTGTGAAGTCGTTACTCTTTATTTCAACTGGGACAATTTCGTATTCCATATTTAAAAGGTGAGGATGAACTGCTCTTCCGTCTGTACCGCCTGGATACGTTGTTCTTCTATCTGATCAACGGCATAAAAACTCAAAGAAATGAAGGGTTCCCTCATGAGTCCCTCGCGCTTGCTGTACTGAGAAAGGATAACTTCCGGTACAGCCAAGGATTGGCTTGCAAAGTAAGTTATCACTTATTATTTATAGAGAGATTTATCTCGTTTAGTGGACGGAAGAAACACTGCTGGGGTTGTTAAACCTAGGTTGAATACCCGTAATATAAATGTGGATAAGTGAATAATAGTTAAATTCTGATATTATGTTGCTACAAGCTACAACTATTATCCCAATATATCTCAAACAAATCTAATATTGGTAATGTAATGTCATTATGGAATATTTTGCCTATGATAACTCTCACAATGTAGTGTAGTAAAATATAACCATGTATTGTCACCACCTCCCCAGCACCATACTGAAAGAGGCAAGCCGATAGAATGCACGGACTCTCGCACGTTCCGCTGGGCATACACCGTGCTCGACTCGTGCTGCCCCGTCGCAGGCATCCAGGTCCGGCCCGGGAACCATGTGCCCAGCGACATAAACGTTGAAGTAAGTTATTGGAGAAAATAAACATATTTGAAGTTGATATCTTTCTTGTTTCCACTTTACTTATCTAAAAGTAAAATATAAGTACCTACTCAAAGGCTTGGCATGCTCTGCGATTAAACGGGCGCGGATTAGAAATACATAGCTGAAAACGCAAAAAATTGCATCAACACGCTCTACGGCTAGCGTTTGCTTAAATTTATTTTATTTCGCCATGGATTTCTATCGAGCAGCATTTTTATATTTGATGTTCGCACAGTAGAGACTCAAAAAACCGAATGCGATTAATCGCCGTGCGTGCGCCGCAGTACTGTTACTATGGAATACAAAAAACAGCAAACAAAACGTAACACATTGTTGAGACTGAAAAAGTCACTAATGCGTGCGCTTGCATAGAAAGCCATGTATTAATTTTTTTGCGGTTTCAAACGCAGGCGTTTAACCGCAGTGCGTGCTAAGCCAAAATAAAGTAAGAAATAAATATATTCATTCATTCAAATTTATTGTCATGACCTGAAAAGTACAAAGCCATGACTGAAAAAAAACTAGATCTTGAGACATCAAAATTAATTGAAAATATCGGTATACTTACGAGAAAAGCTCTAGTAAAGGTTTCAAACTACGTGATTAAACCATAGTTTTCAATTAAACTGACCAGAATTATATATTAGTATAGTATTATCTTTTCCATCTCCAGAAATTCAAGGACGACAGGGCCACCCGTACTAAAGCTAGAATAGCTGGATATGAGGTAAGTAGTACCCCACATGAGTTCCATTTCATTTATAAAACGTGTAGCAAAGTCGTCACGAGATCTTTCAGTCCTGTTACACTTTTTTGTGCAATACTTACTTGCCGGTAAGCAACGACGGTCGTGGTAGCCCGGAGGTTTCTGATGACGCCCGCTTCTTATGCGGCAAGTACAAATGTAAACCTTTCCGTATGAGAAGAGGCCTTTGGTCAGCAGTGGCCACTTATAGACTGTTGATAATGAAGCAACCGGCGCCGCCCATGGATACCCGCAACACCAGAAGTGCTACAAGTGCGTTGCTCGCCAATAGGGGAATTGCGCCGGTAACCACACTCGTGTGAGTGAGGTTACCGAAGCTGTACAAGCAACTGTAGAGTTAGCAATAGCTGTATACGCAATACGCAGATATGTTTTCAGTCAGTATTCTGTGAGACCGTGGTATTACTTAGGTTGAGTCCAACCCAAACATTGGTATCAATTGTCACAGGCGGCATCATCGTCCTGCAACACTACGGCCAACGATTCTATATTGGATGACACCGCGAGCACTTCAGGCTCCGTCGTCAGTGCGCCGTCGAGGGCCTGGGCCCAACCCTCTAGCAGTCAGGCGTCGAGTGCCTGGCCACAACTCGCTGGCAATCAGCCGTCTAGTGACTGGCCTCAACTCTCTCCCAGTCAGTCGTCGAGTGCCTGGCCACAACTCCCTGGCAGTAGCACTGGCTCTGGTAGTCAAATGGCAAGAGCCTGGCCACAGCCATTTCTCAGTCAGTCGTCTAGACCCCGAGGTAAACCCTCCGGCAGCGGTGCTACGGAGCGGCAATCTGAATGTAAGTACAAAATCTATATTTCTGTTACTTGACTCGTTCTATAATCTAAAACTTCCTCCAGTTGTTGAGAGTTTCTTACTTACTTCCTACAAGTATATGTGCTACAAACTCTGAATCATGCCATCCCTAGTAATCCCCCGCTACCACCTCCCAGGGCTACACGGGAATAATGTGGTTTTTATACTTACAGCTGGGAGACGAGAGCGACGCACACACGAACCTTTGCGCATGCCGCAAGCTGACTGTGAGTATATAAAATTAATACTCATAATGAAAGTGTAAATCATTTTTTATTCAATTTTGTTTGCTTACATCACAGTAAAAATGTAGTCCACTTATAGTAGTAATAAACTATGACTCACATTCAGCTACACACACAATACCTATATAATAATATTGCAATAGATTCCCAGAACATCCAGGGGACGAACGAATGGATGGAGAAACATAGTCCTCTACTGGAGACAGCAGGCCATGGACGTGGTAAGAATACGTTTCGACGCTCCAACCAATAATCTGGTAATGGGCCATTATGGGGTTTATGCTGCTTTGTGAAATTCATCATTTTCCTGTTGATATTTAACCACTTGGCTGTCCGATATATGAGACACAAAACACATTGTGCCTCACGTAGATCTACGTTCCAGCAGTCAAGAGGTTAAAAGGATATCGTGACAGGCGTTTTTATTGTTAGGCATTTGGATATATTGCCATAAAACCTGTTATACATTATAGTAGTAATACTTTAATTCACTCGTTAATAGTACGATACGTATCAGCCATACCATGTACCATAAATAATAACATGGTAGAAATCCATAATATAATTGTTACAAAATATTTACCGTGATAGAATATTTCTTAATATTTTACAAAATAACCTAGGAAGTACTTTAAGCGCTTGTTACGTCGCCTTCATATAATTACGTACCTAATTCTTTATCTGGTATGTAGGGGCTATCCTAACATTTTGTAACGGGCACTTCCTGTAATCTTTTATGATATCTTCCATGTATTATTTATTTTCATTATGTAATTACCAAGTTTTTAATATCGCGAAAAAATTCCCTTCATTTAGTACATCAATATTTAACTTCGTTAGTCTTATTCCCCTTCCCCTGCAAATTTTACATTTTGCGATTACTGGTTTATTGGTTGGAGCTTGGGGTTATCGATTCGGATATTCATTAGGAATGCTTCTCTGTCAGTACATTTTATTTATGCTGTCAGTGCATTCCATTCATTCTGTCAGTACCATCTATTCATGCTGTCAGTACCATATATTCATGCTGTCAGTACCATCTATTCATGCTGTCAGTACATTCTATTCATGCTGTCAGTACCATCTATTCACGCTGTCAGTACATTCTATTCATGCTGTCAATACCATCTATTCATGCTGTCAATACCATCTATTCATGCTGTCAATACCATCTATTCATGCTGTCAATACCATCTATTCATGCTGTCAATGCCATCTATTCATGCTGTCAGTACCATCTATTCATGCTGTCAGTACCATCTATTCATGCTGTCAGTACCATCTATTCATGCTGTCAGTACCATCTATTCATGCTGTCAGTACCATCTATTCATGCTGTCAGTACCATCTATTCATGCTGTCAGTACCATCTATTCATGCTGTCAGTACCATCTATTCATGCTGTCAGTACCATCTATTCATGCTGTCAGTACCATCTATTCATGCTGTCAGTACCATCTATTCATGCTGTCAGTACCATCTATTCATGCTGTCAGTACCATCTATTCATGCTGTCAGTACCATCTATTCATGCTGTCAGTACCATCTATTCATGCTGTCAGTACCATCTATTCATGCTGTCAGTACCATCTATTCATGCTGTCAGTACCATCTATTCATGCTGTCAGTACCATCTATTCATGCTGTCAGTACCATCTATTCATGCTGTCAGTACCATCTATTCATGCTGTCAGTACCATCTATTCATGCTGTCATTACCATCTATTCATGCTGTCAGTACCATCTATTCATGCTGTCAGTACATTCTATTCATGCTTTTATGTCAGTAATAAACTGAAAGCTACTGAGTCCTCCGAATAGGTCGTCTTGTAAGGCTAGTTTGTAGAATGATGTATAACACGCTAAGGACAATAGTCACGTATTTTTAACCGTCTGCGGCTGACGTGTAGTCCCACAGACACCGCGAAATACAAAATCACGTGTTATACCGTCATTTTTCAAATACGAGCATCACTGCTGCGAGTACCTTACTGTATAGTGCTCGCTATACTTTAATTCTACAAAAATATTTGCTGTTGAAATGGTGTCTGGTATAATATACACCTCAGTTGAATTGTAACAATTTAACCACGTCAGTTGCAGAGAGTTAAAGGCGTAAAGAAAGTAAGAATTAATACGTTTAAATTAAAAACTATTCTAAAAATCAAGGCTTCACTTATCTTGCAATGTATGTATGTGTGTAGAATCTTGCAATTATGAAACAGCTATTGTCAACCGATTCAACTGATATGTTGTATACACATTTAGTTTGCATGACCATAAATGAAGCTGCATAAAAGTTTTCAAATAGTTTTTAATATAATATACTCCTTGAGTACCATCATTATAGACACAATTAAAGAACTATAGATTGCGGTCACCGGTGACCGCTCGGTGTTCGACAGTTTAAATTTATTTTTCTTACCTTGTTTTAACCGGCTTGTTGTTTATGAACCAATATTGACTATTCCATTTTGATTATCAGGTCAGGATCTAATGACAGGATCCTAGGGAAAGCAAGGGGCACTTTTGAAAATTGTATAGATAATCACTGGCATTGCATGTGCTAATTATATCATTAAGTATTTTAAATCACTACAATTTGATAAAGGTCTGGAGTCGATCTGATGATGGAGTCCAAAACCAGTCCAGAGGACTCGAGGATTTATAGTAATGACCCTGTGTTTGGGCTCATTTGTATCGATGAGAACTTCACACTTAGATGGAGCGTGACTGTCATTAGGAGCCTGATGATGAAATAGTATGATAGTTGAGGGATCTCCTCAACGGTTAGCAGTAGCCACCTTGTATTTGGGAATTAGGAATTGGAGGATTGTTGGCGATTCGGGGATTGAAGAGATTGGGGAGGGGGGTAATTGGGCCTCCGGTAACCGCACACACACACAAAACACAAAGTAAGCGTAATTCCACGTTGGTATTCTGTGAGGCCGTCGTATGGCTTCGGTAGAGCCGGGCCATTCGTGCCGAAGCATGGCTCTTCCAGACATAAACTTGTGACATTTTTTACACTTTAAACTGTCAAACACCAAGCGGTCACCGGTGACCGCAACCTATTGTTCTATAATTGTGTCTATAATGACGGTACTCGACGAGTTAATAAATAAAAAGGATGATCATGTGCAGGGCTGATGACTATCGCGACGATAATTGTCCTACGAATTTTTAGCCTTGCAGGAAGAATTTTATTCGGGGCTTCAGTTAAATTACTGTCTTCTTACTGGATACATGACTTAAGGGTTTTATCATCAATCCACGATTTCTTTTGCATACTTTTAATTTATCGTAGCATGACATCTATTTCATCCATTTGTTTTGTAGTTGTTATTTAACACCTTGAATGCCATGGGGGACAAGGTATGGGCCACGATAGCGGAGGATTTACCTTCAACAGTTTTCTATCGGCGGTCAAACTGTTAAGTACTTAAGAAAAGTTCTCTTCTTTCAAACAATTTCATCATTCACAATTTCCTTCCCAGGTCGCGGTCTAGCCAGCAGCATGAACAAGATGAACATAAATAAAAAAAAGTAAAGCATTCAATGCCATTTAATTTTCTACTCTTTTATCATTATGTAATGAATCTTGATTTACTTTGTAAGTATAGTGTTGTCAGATGGGCTGCGTTTGCTTAGGTGGAAAATACAAAAGATCATACAGAAATATTGGACATAATTACTTGGAACTTTACCTACAATTTATTGACGTTAGCTATGGACTAAACTAAGTCGATTAATTTTTTTTACCTATAAGTAATAAAAACATTGACAACTATTCTCTTAGCCACTTGACCAAATTGCTTTAATATCTTATGGGCCTTTTTTCCAACGCCAAATAAATTTTAAGTGAGGAACAACTATGATTATTTGACGATTCCTCCTAAGAATTATTAACAAAAAAAAAATTAACTATAATCGCGAGTTACTCACGTGAATATACTGAGAAAAGCTCTACTATTTTCGAACCACAGAGGAGTTCTTCCTCATGAGTAGCGTGCGCGGTCAGTGAGCTGCGCGACGTCGCCGCGACCACGTGGGTAACCCGCGACTTTAGTTATTATAAAAACAATAAAAATAACTGGCTTATAAAAAAGTTTTTTAGTCCTTTATCCCCTAACAAAATTAAGCTAAATAAGAAGACAAGATCACGTACTTTACTACTTTTTCCATAGCTCCAATTTATACGAGTCGTATAACAGAAGTTAGTCAGGAAGCCAGTTTTATACGAAGCTCATCTGGCTACACGAAAATATAATTGTTTTGTACTAAAATCCAACGATACTCAAACTTTTTAGTCTAACTGCTTAATGTGTGATAAATGATGTGGCCAACAATAAGTAAATGTAAATGACTGATTAGGATTGCCTAAATATATTTAGGATACATAAATTGTTAGGGTATGTAGGTACTTAAGAACTGAAATTGAGGAAACGAAGAATTTCTGAAAGTGTGATATTAGGAAGGTTTCTAGGAATGTGTCTTGAAAAGTCAACAATTTGACTAAAGTATTGTTATAAAATTTGACATTCGATGTTAATAAATTCACTTTATTTGGATTAAATCCTTAACTTTATCCGTATCAAAATATTGGGATAAAGTATAAAATAACTTTTGAATAATATTCGATCGTTTGATTTTATTAATTTTTAAAATTAAAAAATTGACTCTTCAAGTCGTTTGACAGTGGTTGACATTACGGGTATTTCTTTGTTCCTTTTAGTTAAATAATTGAGTATCGTTGGACTTATTGATTAGAAAGCTTTTTAATATTTTTATAATGTGGGGTTTATGCTAATTTCCGTACGTTCCGTATTAATACTGACTGTAGGAAAACCAATTTATAAACCTGGAATTATTGTAGATCCCACATGTTTAGGACAGTTCTGACAGTCAGAACTTTAAAATTCTGAAAGAAAGCTTTTACACGTATTATATTTTACACTGTCGTTGTAGTAAACTTACGTGCAGGGTCTGACTTGAAAAATTAGTTTTAAGTATAATTTTGTTGTTTTGAATTAAAAAAATATTAAGTTTTGTATAAGTTTTCAACTTTTGTGTTATTCCAACTTGGCTAAGAATGTACCTAACTGCAGGAAATTCCGTGATCGAGTTCTACCGTTTGTCTGGTATACATTAATCAAATCGGTAAAGAACATCTTACAGGATCACTGGAAAGAAACCTTGAAAAAAAAATCGTAGTGGTAAATAGTATATGTTCAATGTTCATGTATGCCCATTGTAATGTTTCCCAAATCCCCCACCGACCTTGTAGTTCACTGTGTTGCGTGTAGACTGTGCGATATATCAGAGGCCTTTGTATTGAGTTTGTTTTACGTTATAAGTAATCGCGTACTCGTTTCGAATACTTTAAACGTACATCAAACTCGTACTAAGGCCTCAGAACTATTTAACTAAGCAACCAATGTAGATCATCACGCCAAACTTATAGTGCCACCTCTTTTCAATAATAATGCATTACGAGCATTTCTTAGTGTTTATCTTGAGTGGAGTTGAGGAATCTGCTATAGTTGTCAGCCTAGTCGAATCTATGTGCATGTTTCTTATTTTATAACTTCGGTTACATATATTCAATAGTACATGCTTTAGACGTAAGCTCAATGTTGGTAGTGTTTAATATAAGTAAAAATGTTTATGAGCCGCAGTCATTTAAAAAAAATCTTAATACCATAGAGTCACTTGGTCCTAAACTGACCTAAACTAAGTAAGTGACAGATATATAAGGTGACAAGTAATAAAAAAAAAATCGAAAAAAAATTGCGAATCCACTGTTACATTCATAGCGATATTCCCTTTTTAAAAAAAAAATACTGTAATATGATAAAACTATCAATAAAATATGTATGTATTTTATTTACTATTTAGCAGATTTGCTAGACACGTTTTGGACAAGATGTATAATTTACAATGACAAATTTCCATCGAAATTATTTTTTAATAGTATTTATGGTTACTTATATCATAACTTCATAAGCCTATAAAATTTTCTGTAGATGTCGCAAGTGGCGTTAGTTTATTAATTACATTATTACGGTAATAGATATAGATATTAATTCCATTTAACTATAATAAAGTTTTAAAATTTTTCAATAAATTCCGGCCCGGTCTATATTTTCCGGGATAATACATTTCTATAATAGCTATCTATCTACGCTAGCGCCACGTATATGTGTGTAGTAATGTCTGACAGTAGAGTGTAGGTATAGGACAAATCTCTATTACCTACGTATTTCTTTGTGTGATAAAGTCATATATCTAATGACCTATGTAATATGTTCAATGTGAGTTAATTAATAAAATAATGGGAATAAATTGTGGTGTTTTTTTTTTAATATGCTTCTACCTCGTATGTATGCAGTAGTAACGCCCGTTTCTTCGAAGAAAAATATAACACCAAAATTAAATGTTATAACCTACCCCATACATACATAATCCCTCACACACACAAGCACACACCAACATACTATACATTTTAATATAAATATTCTATGTACTATATACTATACATTTTAAGAATACCCACTTACATTTTGCACTAACCCACTAATATATTATATACTTTACGCTATATTCCGAACAAATCAATAAATATTAAAAAAAAAAATGTTAACCAAAATGTAATTTATATTAAAGTGACACCCCTAACATTTGCAACGCCTGAAAAAGGCCGTTATGCTGTGCCTGTTATTTCAAAAGACCTGTAATGACCTGTATGTATTACCTTAACATGCAAATAAAGACTTTGAGTTTGAGTTTCTCAGGCATGAGGGTGCGGGTTCGAAACCTACCAACAGCAAGTACCAATGTGACTTTTTCCCAGTTATATGTACTTTCTAAGATTATTCAGACACCAATGACAAACGGTGAAGGAAAACATGCATCGTGAGGAAACCTGGACTATAATTTCTAATTATATGTTTGTAAATCGCCATACGGCTTAGCTCAGCAGTGGGCATTTATATGCTGTTGGTGTGTGTGCTTCTAGCATACCTTAAATATCAATAATTCTTCTTGACATATTACTAATTGAATATTTTTAGAAGATCTTAATATAGTGAAGATCTTAATATAGTAATCTTAATAATTGAATATATAATTTGAAAAATAATCTAATTGACTATCATCTCATTTACTCTCATCTCTTACATATTATCGGTACCTACCTAGTACCTACTATTATTATACATACAAACAACGTACCTTATTATCTTTATTCATCATCTATCATCAAGAAAATAAAACAAAAACAATAATTTAATAAATAAATAAGGAATAATAATATTTATTCTCTTTGCTGAGTCGTCTCTTCCCTGGGGTGTTCATCAACAGTTTCGAGTGCGGTTTCTGGTCTCCTTTCCACTTCAGCTTCAGTTTCCGTTGGTGGTGGTGCTTCTACGTCGGCTTCGACTTTCTCCTTCTCCGCCCTCTCTTGTTCCTCTTGGAGTAACGTGCTCATTACGAGCGTCGGTTCCGCTGCAGCCTTCTTCTCAAGCCTCATTTCCACTAGGATACTTCTTACCAGTACTAGGACGTATATTTGGAACACTGGAATTTTAAATTTGATATTAGACTTGTGACTGGATTTTTTTTTTAATGGGGCAAAATCATCGAATGACTGCTCCCGCCTGGGTGAGGCGGGAGGGAGTGTCAGACTCTTACTGATTAAAAACCACCCCGTTCCTTCTCCTGCACGTCGAGCCGGAGCCCCGGTTACCAGACTTGTGACTGGATAGTGTGTGAATGGACTCTGTACATGAGTGGAAGGGTTTTGCCCTGCATTTGACGATCAAGGAGCGGTGTTTTAAAGGAGTATAAATATAAAGGTTCTGTTAAAACTGTAAATTCATAGTAGGAAAAAGTATGAAAATCAATTTTAACTGTATTTTGTGAAGGGTATGTATCCATGAACATTATCAAGATCAAGGGACAGTATTTGCTTTCATCAACTGCCGGAATACGTCGACTGCTCGACAAAACAGTTACGGAGGTGGACGAGGAGGACTAAGGGGTAGGCCTCCCCCTTAGTTCTTAATCCTCCACGTGGTTATTAGAGACATGCATTTGTGCAAATGTACTACTGTAACTAAACAAATACAATATGTAACCTACATAACGTTAGTAACTTACGTATGCTGAGCACCATAGCGATGGTGACGACGACGCCGATGGCGGCCACCACCATGGAGTAGAACATTATCGAGGTGATGATCGCGGCGATACAGTACTTCATGTACACGCGCATCAACGTCATGTCTTTCTAAACACACAATAAACATTAATAGTTATTATCTTGTGAAATTGTACTAAGATACCTCCTAAGACCTAAATTAGACGATGTTTAGTTAGGTGACTTAACCTCTCGTCTGTCTGTGGATATATGAGACACAATAGATACACATTGTCTCATAGATCTGCGTTCCGATACTTCACAGGATTATCAAGCTGAAGTGGCAGAGTGGTCTAATCTAATTTGTTGGAAAATCTCGATAAAGAATACCGGAGAATCCAGAAATACTCGTAGAATTGAACGTGTTCTGGAGAGAAAACCACGTCGACTCAGACGTTATGTAGGGCCTTTTGGGGGTACGAAGGATTAGGCATCCGGTAACCTTACTTACATACATAGTGAAATAGTGAAGCAACGAAAGCTTTTTTCACATCGGTATATTTCTGTCGAAAAACGGCTCACTGGCTGTGAGGCCGTGGCATTATTCTGGTCCAGCTAGCCTTAGCTCATGACGACATAATAGGTAGATAGGTACCGACATCTAGTCGTTACCATATAAGGTCACTCGCAACGACAATTTGTACGACTGACATACACCCTTTACGTTGGTGTCCCTTCGTCCAGCATACTCACCATGGAATCCTGATATTTCATGAATGTCAAAAAACTGTTCTGAAATAGTGCTAAATAGTGCCCAAAGGAAAAAAATAGTGCT